ATCATAAGCATCAATAATTCTTGAAATATTGTAATTATGTCTACTAATAACTATTATGGTTAGGCCACTTTGGCAGCTACTAACCTTTACATAATATAAATATTAAATTAGGTAGTGACTAATTCATCATTAATTATATTTACTACTAAAATTAATAATCATTAATTATTATGGTTAGATCACTTTGGTAACTACTAACCCTCATATAATATGAATATTAAATTAACTAGTAACTAATTTATCAATAATTTATCCATTTAACATTATACACACATACTTATACTGATGGATCTAAGTTTAGGTAAGTTCGATCCCAGAAACTTAATAGTCTGAAATTTCCATAAAAATATTCTTTTCCTTTATATATATAATAAAACATATTATTTTTATTTTCAGACTCGAATGCCATAATTGAATCAATTTAAAATTGATTCTCTATAATGTATGTACGAATGGGTATAAAATAATTATTTAATGTGTCTAACAAAAATTAAATTAAATTTCTAAACTCACATATAATCAATGAACGCATAAGTTATTAGGTGTCCAAAAAATTTGTAAGTACCAATATTGTACTTATGTATCTTCAGTATATGAAAAATATTTAAACTAAATTATATGCATTGTTCCAAGTGTAATTTTTACGCAATTCAATAAAATTTGGAAATCATGATACCCAAACCAAAACTAACATGTTTGGTGTCCATAAAATTCATCCATAATATTAAAATTAGTATATAATAATACACATATTCTTTTTTCAAAATTATGCATGAAAAGGAAACTTCTTCATCTTATTATACATGTGCATACATGCATCATTAAGTAATTGATTTTCATGCAATTCCAATGTTCAAAAATCTATGTATGGAAACCAAAATCAATGCACAAAACTAGATCCAAAGAAAAAACTGAGCAAAACATATCCACAATAATCAATCATGCAATCATCATTATATATTAAATATTATTTATACAACGTTAAAGAAAAATAATGAGTCCCTAAACTATAAGCTTTGATACCGCATGTAAACTTTAATAATTCGTGTCAAGCATTAATCACAAATAAACATGAATCCCAAGATCTTAGAATTTCATTATTTTCACATACTTATACTTGCATAAATATATAATTAGATATATTTACGTCGATCAATGATGACAAACCTTGGTGAGATCAAGTCCAACGTTAAGATCCTTTAACAAATAACTAAGCTGCAACTTTAAACAATAGGCAAACCAAGGAAACTGATTTCTCTCTCTTAGCCTTTTGCACAATTAAAATTATACGTATTGTTTTCATTCACGTACATAACTGATGGGAATATGCGTTTTATAAAGGCAAAAGAGAGGACAGGTTTTCCTTTTAGTAACCTTAATTCTACTTTCCATCAAAGTAAGGAATAAATAGTAAAACACTTCTCCAATAATTAATTACCAAAAAGGTAATTTATAAGTTGACTAAATAATATAATATTAATCTGATATCTATTTACTTAACCACTAATTAATGAAATATATCACATGTCCAAAATCATGTGGGTCACACAATTAATAAGTAATCTTACAAAGATAACATCAATATTTATTTGGCAAATGCAAACATGGATTAGAGCAATGGGTGGAAATTCTCCAACTGCTATCGTAACTGACCAAGACAAGGCTATGAAAGTAGTTATTTCAAAGGTATTACCAAATGCACGACATCGCTTTTGTTTGTGCCATATATTGAAAAAGATTCCTGAAAAACTTGGTCATGTAATAAGAAAACATGAAAATTTTATTAGAATATTCAATGGATGTATTTATAATTCATGGACTGAAGAGGACTTAGAGAATAAATGGAGGAATATGGTTGAAAGATTTGAACTTACAAAAAATGAATGGATTGAAGCGTTATTTGAGTATCATAGACATTGGGTTCTAGTTTACATGAGAGACACATTTTTTGCCGGAATGTCTACAACTCAAAGATCTGAAAGTATAAATTCTTTCTTTGATAAATATGTGAGTAAGAAGACTTCATTGAAGGAGTTTGTTAAACAATATATGGTGGCTTTACAAGATAGAGAAGAAAAGGAGGCGTATGCTAAATTTTGTACATTGTACAAGAAACCCGTTTTAAAGTCTGCTTCGCCTTTTGAGAAACAAATGTTAACAGTTTATACACATGAAGTCTTCAAGAAATTTCAAGTTGAGGTTTTAGGAGCATTTGGATGTTATCCTAAAAAAAGAATTGGATGATGGTACGGTTATGAGTTTAAAAGTTCAAGATTTTGAAAAGAATGAAAATTTCTTGGTTGTATGGGATGCAAGCAAGAAAGAGGTCTTTTGTGTATGTCGTCTATTCGAATACAATGGTTATCTTTGTAGACATGCATTGGTAGTACTCCAATCTTTTGGTGTTTTTGACATCCCATCTCAATACATCTTAACTAGATGGACTAAAGATTCAAAAAGTCTTAATACTATAAGACACATTCCAAAAGATGTTCGTTCGAAGAAACAACGTTTTAATGAGCTACTTCAAGAAGCCACCAAGTTAAGTGAGGAAGGGTCAATATGCCATGAGAGTTATAACATTGCATATGATACATTAAAACAAGCTTTGAAAAAATGTGCAATGATTAATAATTCTTTTAATGGCTTTAAAGAGCCTAATAGTTCTCATGAACTTGATAAAGAGAATGTTGATAGTAATGTGATGCTTGATATGTTACTGTTTGATCCACAAGTGTCAAATTCAAAAGGAGCTCCTAAAAGGCTCAAAAATGGGATTGATAAAAAAAAGCAAAAGAAGATGCAACAAACTAAAAGAGGTTAGAATTTTAGTTGTCTTATATACTTACAATATCATTTTTGTGATATATTGCTTAGTTACTAATTACTAATGCTTGCATTGTTTTAGGTTCAAAAGCATCAAGTGCCTAATGGTAGGAACAAAAAATCCATAGAAAGAGAGGTTTGTCAATACTTTTCTTTAAGCTCTCAAATAATAGTATAAAATGGAACAGTATCTCCTTATCATTTCTTTATGTTTCAGGGACATGTAAACTCACGACCCGAAAGATTTCATAATATGCATAATCCAGAAGAACAATGTATGGTATGATGTAATAGGTGATGATGCTTATTTTAAATTGAGAAAATTTAATTTTTACTTTGAATTTTATAGGTTCATTTCAAGGCAATAGATTTGGACATTGACGATTGGTATGGTGTAGAGCAAGATACACACTTGATGGTAGCTAATCTTATTATAATGTGTATATATATATATATATATATATATATATATATATATATATATATATAATTTTTATCATAGTATAATATGTATATTTGATATATGTAACAGGAAGAGAATCATACAAGATTGGAGTTTTGAGTTAACACCACCCTCTACACAACATTTTGAAGTATATATTAAATTATTAACTTTAATTTACTTTTTACTTGCATACCATAAAAATAGTCTCATTTGCTTTTTCATAGTTAATAAAACAGTATTTTATTAATTAAAGTGATGAAAAAATGTATATGATATTCTAATGATTTGAAAATTTACAGGTCTGATGAAATGAATTTTATTCCCAGCGAAGAAGAACCATACTTGGTTGGCTATTGTTGCAAGGGGTGGATCACTTATAAGGTATTTCCCCATTGAGGCTTCCAGCATGGGTGAAAAAGCATCAAAACAACAATACCATTTTTTGAAGTGGAACATTTAGAAACAGTCCTGGTTGTTGCTATTTCGGCTACTAGCTGCTATTGGTTTTAGTTGAGAGTGTGGAAGTGTTCTTTCCAACAGTTTTATTCTAACACGCCCCAAACGGTTTATGAAGAAGGAAATTTACTTTTGGTCATGATCTTTTGGGACATGATTGGATGGAATTTACACTTATATATAATTTTTTATCATGTATTAATCTTTTGGGGTATGATTAGATTTAATTGTGGGTGTAGATAAATTTTACTTTTTTTGTAACTGAAAGGACTAATGACACTAATATTATTAAATATTTTTCATGATTTATTGGGTTTAAAAAAATGAGATTACTCAAAATTTCAGTATTTATTGCTTACTATTCTTTGTCACAACTGTTTTGGTGTAAAAATGAGTTAAAAGTGTCAACATTCAGACTCTATGGATTTTGTTTAGCAACAAAATATTACTCTGATGGATCAATAATATGGGCGGCTTTGAGGCATTAACCAAAAGCAAATCAACACGTTGTTTGTAAACACATGACTTGAAACAGCTGCATAAAAAGAGACGAGATCAAATCCATTTAAAACACAACGGTAAAAAAAGAAAAAGTTAAATTCATTTAAAACTATCCAATAGGAACTGCGAATGTGGATCCGCAGTGGATCTGCAGTTGCGACTGTATTTAGCAGTCCTTTTTGTTTTTAAATAAAACATAGAGGGTAGGATATGATAGTCTCGTGTTCAGAATATGTTGACTAAGTGTTTGAGATACGTCGGCTAAGTGTCTGAAGTAACAAAATTTATTTTTAACTAATGGACACGACCATGAAGTGTCGGACGCTAGGCGCGTCCATAGAGTGTCGATGTCCAACGCAGTGTAGGACAGAGACAATGCTTCTTAGGTCATTTATAATAAAAGTTTTAATTTTATCAAATGCTTAAAAATAAAAACAATTTATTCATTTATAACTAATACTTTAACATTCAACTCCTAATTTTTTTTTTTAGAACTTTTAATCAAACAACATAATATTATACATTTATATTTGATAAAAAAACAAAATAGGATTATAGTCTCTTGCAGTCTTACTATCTAATTTGTAATTTACTATCTAAAAGAAAAATATATATAAATGAAAATGTAGTGTGTATGAATTCTACACATAATTAACAAATATTGGGGCATAAATGGCATTTGGAAACTTAAATAGAATATCAAAATTAATTTATCAAAACTATACACCATATTATTAACTTAAATAATAAGAAAACAATTATACTACATATATAGTTTATATATGGAGCATAAAAGTGCGTCAATGGCGGGCGTGAGTAGGAAGGTCAGCGTTTGATGGCGGAGATTCTCTTCCAAAAATGTCAATAGCTACACATTTACAAAGCGTCGCTAATAGGCTCTCTTCTTCATTCACCTCTCTCAAGCCCCCTTGCTTCTCACTGCTCTCTCACTCTGGAAACCCTCTCACCCTCAGAGGCACTGGAAGCCGGAGCTTCTGGCCCCTCTCTTCCCACGTGTCGCCCTCTCGTCAGTTCGTCACCGCCGCCGCCACCACCACCACCACCACCTCCATGGGTGACGCCGCTACTGATGCCGGCATGGATGCTGTCCAGAGGCGTCTCATGTTCGAAGACGAGTCAGTTACCCCTTTCTCATACTTCTAATATAACAATTTCTTTAACTGTAATTTTTTAAAATTTTTTTATTGAGGTTTGTCTTATTTTGATCTTGTTTGGTTTCAGATAAAATTGGATAAAGGAAAATAAAATTTTTGATCATGAATTACATATATATGTTGATATAGATGTTGTTTATGTTTCCTAATCATGATATTTACTTTACTTGAAGTCTAATAATTTTGCAGGTTTTTTCCTGCTGACAGAGTAATTCTGTTAGTATTATTATTATTATTATTATTTTTACTTATCAAAAAAGAAAAAATTATTATTTTTAAATTTCTGTTGTGTGATTTTGCTTGTTTTGTGAATTGGAAGATGTGTTTAGAGTTGTTTTAAGATAAAGCAATAAACTACAACAGAGGGCATACCCTCAGTTTAATAAGTTACAATAAATTCTTCTTATTTTGTTTTACCCCTAAATGTATCTGGGTGAGGAATGGAAGAACTTTAGTTATATTAGTTGAAAAGTAGTTTGTGGATGTTTAGGCTTCTTTTCCTATCAATCACTCATTTGCTTTTTAAGATGGGCACCACATCCTTTGTCGGGCCTGAATCTACTGACGGTGATTGCTCCAAAAAAAAAGGAAAGAAAAGCATGTCATGGAAGGAGCCAAATTATCAGGTGTCCTTATCATTTTTAGGGGGTCTACGTTTTGATATTATGTTACTGAAACTTTCTTTTGGTTTTAATGAAAATGGGAAAGATTTTTGAGATTATGTTGTTTCTCGTTTTTCATCTTCCTTGGATGAAAAGTCAAAGTGAATCCAAAACGATAAGGATGGTTTTCAGAAACATTAATTTTTGAAAAATTCTAAAAGGATATTTGGAAATTTCAAAGAAGAATATGTGGCTTTCATATCTGAAGCCAAAAGCCAGATGGTCTAAATCCTCAGGTGTTATGCAGTTATGCTTGGCTAGATGTGATCAGTCAGTGAGTTGAGGTTCAATCTAAGGGGAGCAGTAGCAAAGGTGGAGTTTTTTTTGGCACTGATGTGTGGCACATAATGAGTGTCGCGAGGTAGGGAGTTACAATTTAAAAGTGGTGTTTGCATCAGTTGAACCATTGAGAAAAGCTGGTGCCTTGGATGAAAACTATGGGATTGTAGACCATGGCGCCTTTGGTAACTTAATTTTCTTATTCTGGCTCTGTTTTATCTGTTTTAGTTGATAATTTACTATTCTTAATGGCTGATAAGTTTGTAAAAGTTTTTCATATAAAAATGTAGAAAATGAGATATAAATGAATTTTTAATCCTTTTATTTGTTTCTTATCCGCAAAAGTTTATGTACGGTGATTTAATTTTTATAAGGGAAATAATTTGTAGCACAACTTCTAAGACATGAGATAAGGAGAGGATTTTTTAGTTTTGTTCAACATTATGCACTATTAGGAAGGAGCAATTAGCTTTTGCTTTATGGAACTCTAAATATTGAAGGGGTCACGAGTAGTTGAATTGGAGGAATATTTCAATCATTATAAAAGTAAAATATGTGTAAATTTGCTTGACTCGTAATGACACTAGCCACTCTTTGTATACATACAAAAGGAGTACGTCAAACCTTAACATATGGAGTACATCAAGCCTTAACATAAGGAAAGAAAAATAAAGTCAATTTTCCAACAAATATTAAGGGGAGTAAGGATGACTCTTGCTTGAAGTACTTTCAGATTCTATGTTGATATCTATCCAGTTGAATTTCAGACATGTTTCTCTGGCAGTTTTCCATAATTAATTCTGTGTTCATCATGCATATCAACTATCCAAATTTTCCATGGACATTCATACTACCATATGGTAATATAGTGTAAACTGACTTGCTTTGACTATTATTCTTCAAGTTTATTTTTTCCTTGGTCAGAGACAACCCTACATTTCATTTCTCTCATTTTTTTCTCCACCTGTAGGATTAAAGCTTTATATATTTATTTTTCAGTCAATGCCATTTACTTCCCTGGTTTTAACGACAGTTTCTCCATTCTTAAATTTTTTGCAGATGTATTTTGGTAGATGAGAACGATCATGTTGTTGGTCATGATACCAAATACAATTGTAAGTAGGATATTCATTTTGTAACTTTCTTGGGTGCAGTCTTGAGTGTTGTATAATTGAAATTAGCCATTTGTAATATATATATTTATTTGCATGCCACATATTCAGTATTTGTTAATTTGGGTTTTCACACTAATATATTTCTAAAAAAAATATTATTTAGTGTTATCACGGTGTTTGTTAAAATTAGGGTCAACTGCATAAAACTTTCCTAAACTACAAAGTATTTGCGTATCTCTCCTCCATACTAAAATTTTAATATATAACCACCCTGAAATACTAAAATCCCTTTCGTCAAGTTATCATAAGAAATACACTATCAAAGTTTTTAGGCTTTTTGAAAATCCGTCATCTCTTTTTTGATTAATTTGCATAAACCCTCCTTGAACTATAAGAAATTGGCATATTTCCCTTGTTCTAGGGGCAATGTGCAATATTTTTATAATTTAGGGGCTGTGTGTAATTAACCTTAAGGGCAATTTAGTAATTTTCAAGACACATTTAACAGACGGTCAATGATGGTTAGGCTGTTGGCCTTATTTGCAAACTTTCAATAGTTCAGGAAGGTTAATTTTATTAAACCGGGTAACATGAAAATTTTATATAGCACAAATTCTACATATTTCAGGGAGTTTTGTGCAATAAATGATTTTAATTATTTAAATTTTACTAATTTCCTATAAGATACTACTTTTTTTAGCTGTTTTATTAGGTAAATTTATTTTATGAACAAATTGTGCTGATACTACAGCCAAGACAATTCACAAAGTTTATGAAGCGACAAATTTGCATTCATTTTGATGGATGTTATTGTGTTATATGATTAGGAGAGAACATAACAATTTTCAAAGTTTATGAAACTACAAAATTACCTGCATTGCTACAACCCTCTATAATTGATCTAATTACATATGAAGAATTCATTTGGTTCTTTAAAGAAATGCATCAGCAAATAATGAGGTGGTCAAATATTTTGGAATAAAATCTGTTTAAATCTTGAAATAATGCCATTTTCAGTATTCTCTTTTTTTGATGAAATAAAAAATGATTTAAAATGAAAATGTGAGTACCAACTCTCTGCATTTCTAATATTGTATGTGTTGTCAGAGGTTCTTGAAAAAGTAAATTTAATAACAAAATATGGACCTGTAAGGTAATCTTTGGTGCCACTGTAAGGTTGCTCCATTGTGACCTAGATGTCACTGACTCACAGGTTCAAATCTGGGAACTGCCTCTACATGCGGAGGTAAGGCCGCCTATATCTGACCCTCCCTAGACCCTGCAATGGCGGGAGCCTCATGCACTGGGCTAGCAAGTATTGACATGTTTTTGTTCTCCACTTTTTTTTTCTATGTATTCTCCATTTATTGTTATGGAAATTTGTCTCCAGCAGACTGATATTTTTCTAGCAAATGTACTAGCAAAATGTTCACACCTTACTAGCATGGTACAGTAGAAACCTGCAAAGCATACAGTATAATGACAGAAAAGTAACGAGACAGATATTCTGAAATTATCATTGAGGCTTTGTTTTGAAAATGTAGTCCTTTTATTTTTTCTGTCTGTATTATATTTAGCTATATTTAAGTGATTTTTAGCGTGATTTATATTTCTTTTGGCTTCCAAGAAGTGGATGTAACAGAGAAATTTTTTAGAGCTATTTGATGTTGGCATGTTGTACTGAAATTCCAGATTCTCCTTTCTTCTCCTCTACTGTCTACTTAACTAAACAAAGCATCATCATTATTATTATATTTTTCTATTTTTTTTCACATGCATGCTTCGAACTAAAGGAGCATCAGTTATTTGGTTACTGCATGCTTTGGACACGCTGCATTCTAGTCTGTGTTATCACCACATTTTTTATGCATAAGGAAACAATTACATCCTTTTTATTTTAATTTTTTTTTTCTTATTTATTTTTAACTGTATTTATGGTTTTATAATCTGCAGGCCACTTGATGGAAAAAATTGAATCGGAAAATTTGCTACACAGAGCTTTCAGTGTATTTTTGTTCAACTCAAAATATGAGCTACTCCTTCAGGTATTTGTTAAATTTTTATGGGTTAGAAATGTCAGTGTATGTGATTGCAATGCATGCGTACCATTGTGGAACATTATTGGCTATTTAGTAGCTTATCTCCTTGCAGAGGAGTCATTTTGTGGGTATACTATGACCATATATATGTCAGAGACACTCGTTCAATTGTTGAAAGAATTTATTGTGAGAGACGTGTTCAATTGTTGAAAGAATTTATTTCAAAACTTACATTATCATTCATAAAAGATTCTCTTCCGTCATCAAGAAAGGGAGGTTAAAAAAAGCAACAGTTTGGTAATAGTTACCTTGATGTAGAATAACATGTTAAAGAAAGATTATCCTTAAATAGATTATACTACGTTGGGCTCTTTTCCTCATTTTACTTAATTAGTTTTGATAGTTTTTCCTATCATTGTTGGACTAACATTAATGTTAAAGAAGAAAAGGGGGAGAAGTGTTGAGGATAAAATGAGAGCATTATTATTAGACAAGTCTTGACTACAGCAAGTGCTTACCTACGCTTCGGGGAGTAGTGGCCGTGGTCACTGATGTGGTTAAATTGACGATTGGTTTGAAAGGTGACAAGTATATCTATTTTGATGGTATAGACTATAGATGTGGCAGTCATAGGTCTGGGTTCAGTTTTTGTGGGGCCTGCTGCAGCAGCAGCCAAGGTGGGACTCACCCTTGACGTAACTTGGGTATAGTTACATTTGGGGCTAAAGAAGTGCCATTGCTTGGTATATTAGGTGGGTGACTCCATTATGAAGCTATTGTGTGATAAATCACCAATTTTTATTGCCATTAAGGTATATAAAATTAATTCCTTTCCTACTTCTTTTTCCTCAAAGTGGAAAATTTGTTGTGGTGGTAGGGGTATTACAGACTTAAGAGAGGCAACAGAGCAGTGGTGTGCTTGCAGTGTGACTAGTGTGATTTTGACCACAATTGTTGTTCTGTCCGTTCACTATTATATCAGTGTTCAATGTCTTCACTTGAAAAATGTGGTTTCTTTAGAGTGATGGAAGTATTACAAGTAAGCTTGTTGAGATCCTAGTGGATTGGATTAGAGTGAAAACCAAGGCAATTTTACAATAAAGGGACTGATTGTGATGGGGAGAATCAAAGAATCCTTGGGTCATTACTACCCTCTTAGAACTTCTACCAATTAAAGAAAAGGTTCAAGTTTGTCTTGTTGTCAACTTGTCATTACTTTTCTTGGAACTCTTACCGCTATTCATAGAAGGATTAATTGCACTGTTTGCCTGAATTACATAGATGACAAGTTTGCAAAAACTTAAGATATACCCCTTTTCGTAGCTAATGTCTACATTAAAATTGTAGTTGACATGTCATGTTTGCCCCTCATTATATTATAATAGTTTTTTTTTTCCTTTTCAAAAACATCTTGCACAAAATGATAAAATACCCCTACCTAATATACCACAAGTTTTGCCAGTTGTTCACTTGGAGCCTCTCTCTCTCTCTCCCTCCCCCCACCCCACCGCCACCCTTTTGTGGAGATGCATCCACATGTTGGCGGGAGAAGGAGAAATATCTTTTTGGAGTGTGTTATGTGGTAAGTTGGCAGAATGACATGGCAGATTTTTTGAGGATGCAACATGACAGGATACAAAAATGCCATATGAGCTGCCACTTTGGAGACTCGTGGAGAGGTAGAATGAGATAACCACACCTCCATTTTGTACCAATCTAGAGTGTTGACCAATGGTCTTCAACGTAGAATGAGATAACCACACCTCCATTTTGTACCAATCTAGAGTGTTGACCAATGGTCTTCAACCCCCGGTACGTCCTCAAGGATGTCACCTCTCTTTTCCAGGATCCTAGAAGCTGGACTTTCAACGCTTCAGCATGTATATTTTGAAATTGTTTACCCCATCTATTTGTAGTATAAGTTTAAAGTGATGATTATAACTTTTCATTTGCCTTTTGCAAATTTTCTTGTAATTACTTTCTGCTCAACCATCTTTTGAATGCCCTGTAAGGTAGATGGCATTCCCATTCATTAACATAAGGGCTTTGCGATACCCATTCATTACATTTTTCAAATTGCAAGTATTAGGTGGAATTCTTTTGTTAAACATTGTAATCTCTGTTGAATTTGCAGCAAAGATCTGCAACAAAGGTCACATTCCCTCTGGTGTGGACAAACACCTGCTGCAGCCACCCATTATATAGAGAATCTGAGCTTATTGATGAAAATGCCCTTGGTATGTATTTTAACTAGTAAAGACACCTTTACCATCAGTGACAAGGACATTTTCTCATTAACTTCTATTTTAAATTAATTACCAGGGGCGAGGAATGCTGCACAAAGGAAACTTTTGGATGAACTGGGTATTCCTGCTGAAGATGTGCCAGTTGATCAGTTCATCCCGCTGGGGCGAATGCTGTACAAGGCTCCATCTGATGGGAAATGGGGAGAGCATGAACGTAATATTTCTTAGTCCTATTCATTTTGAACCTTGTGATTTGTCTTCTGCCATTGTCCATTTTATTATTATTATTATTTTTTTCATTTGGATGTTGCCTTTTGGTCTCATTAAAAATTTGCAACAGTAGCAAACAAATGAGATTGACCACCTGCACGAAAAAGATTTTGCACTCTTCTTTTGGAGTATATATATGAGATTGACCACCCGCACCAAAAAGCTTTTGCACTATACTTGTTGTAAGCTTGGCTGGCAGGTTGCTTTTTACTGTTACATGTCACATCTAGATATCAATTAAGTGAAATTTTGCTTTACTGCTGGTCATGGAAATTTTCCTTTTTTACTTCGACTTTGAGACCATTTTCTTCAATCTTCAGTGGATTACCTTCTCTTCATAATCCGAGACGTCAATATGCATCCAAATCCTGATGAAGTTGCTGATGTTAAATACGTGAACCGAGATCAGTTGAAAGAGCTGTTGAGAAAAGCCGATGCTGGTGAGGGAGGTCTGAAATTGTCCCCTTGGTTTAGGCTAGTTGTCGACAATTTCTTGTTCAAGTGGTGGGACCATGTCGAGAAAGGGACTCTCCAGGAAGCTGCTGATATGAAAACCATTCACAAACTGACTTAAAACGTCACTCTACTTGAGAAGTGTTACCAGGCCATCCAATAAAACTGTGGGAGTTCTGCTTTGCAGGTGTGTTTGCATTTTCTTGTTCTTACCAAAATTGTCTATTCACACCTAAATAATTTTGCGTTCTCTGTTAAAATGCGGTATATTTTTTATTTTGTGATTTGGGAGAATCCAATAAAAACCATTTTGGGACTTATAGTTTATATCTGGCATTAAAACACTATATATATAAATGAATGTTATGAGAACAAGGACACGAAATCATGCCAAAAGTTCGGAATATTGATTGTGGTATTAAGATTAATCCGTTTCTTCATGAAGCCAACAGGGACTGATAGATCTATACATTCAACATTTATGGTGCATGTGTAAATCAATACCAGCATTTTCTAATGTTTGTCCTTGAACCTTGTTGTTCATTAGTGAAAAGCAAGTTTGGTGGGAAACTGCTTTCTTATGAAAAGAAAGGGATGCTTCTCATTCTGTGTTAATGGGCTGTGATGGAAAGGTATTATGTGATATTGATCATTATTTCTTTATATAATGCAAATGGCTGTTTTGGAAAGGTAATAATGCCAGAAGGAAGAAAAATAGCTCTCTCGTCATTTCCATCCATCCACTTTGGGAGGAAGGGTTATGGCCGTCCTAGAGAAGGGGCTTTTTGTCTTTCCTTCGTTTTCCTCGTCTCTTCTGACCTACCAAACGAAGAAAAGGCTTTCCTCTCCTTTCCTTCCTTCCATTGTACTTCCCCTACCAAACAAGCTGTTAAGGCTGTTAATGAATTAAGGAATTCTTGTTGTTCGGTGTTATGTGCCATCAGTGATGGGTTTGAAACTTGGAATGTTTTTGATCACCTGAGAATTTGACAGACATTCCATGCAGTTCATCACCGAAATCATCTTCTCACATTCGGTATTCACTGCACAGGGTTAGCTTCTTTACATTGTTTTGCTAGGGCATCAATTAGGGTAAGCATATTCTGAATTTGACAGTCTAACATTCCATGAGGAAAAAAAAGAGAACCCTTTTAGATCACCATACTTCAAATATGAGATTTTAAGATTAATAAGTTAAAGGAGAAATTTTCAACTAGTGGTTGGTTTTTGGTCGGGGAACCAATGGTCCCAAGACCATACAATAATTTCAAAGAGGTCCATCTGCCACTGCTGGCCATTGGCCCAAATGGTATGAACTCTCCTCCCCAACCGGGGAGGTGAGAGGTTCATACCCCACATGGGGCAATGCATTGTGCGTGTGTTGCTTACCTACCCTAAAAGAAAAAAGTTAAGGTCCTGTAGTTTCGAAGTAAAATATATTTTCAAAATGTTTTCAGCAGTTTCTAGTGTTTGGTAGTTCGTAAAATATTTTTTTTACAAATTTTAAGTAAAATGAAAGTAAGTTTACTCCCACAGGGACATTCCCATTGGGGCTTCGTTTCTTTGTCCTTCTAATCTTCAACTCACAGGTTGAAGCTCAGTATTTGAGTTTGCTATATCTTCACTTGATTTAAAATGTGTGTACTATGTAACGCAAACAAACTGCAAAGGACTTCTTAATGGAATGTTACAAAATTTCCTTACAAGTAATAATTATATATACTAAACAACAAGAACATCAAAACTTACCCGTCAACCCAGCCTCCAAAATGGACTGATTCTGCATCCCCATCATCTTCTCCAACAACTGTGCTTGTGTCATCTCTAGTCGCACTCATATCTTCTCTAGCTATGGTAATGCTCGAAGCAGACGAGCCTTCAGCCTCGGGCAAATACCCTTGCAACAGCATTGCCTTCCTCTTGCTTCTACTTCGACGCCATCTTCCCAATGTCTCTGAAATATCCCTTTCCTCTCTAGCCCTCTGACGTGGTTGATCCCTTGGTTCTTTTGACACTTCCTTGGTCGAAGATCGCTTGAAATTTGCTGCTATCTTTGCGAAGATGAGTGGCCTAAAGCAACAGCCAAGAATTGCAAGAAGCATAATGTACATATGGAGTGAAGTCCACACAAAAAATGTCCATTTCCAATGGCGCACAATTTCTTTTACTCGAGGGAGCTGAGAGTTCAGGAAAATCTCGGCTTCGTATATCTGGGGAAGAGAATAAGTTCCAGCCCGCGGAATCAAGGTTATTCTGATACATTTCGTCCTCGGTTTCCCTTCCTTGTGCTTTAATACTGCAATGACTATCTTCTGGGTTTCAGATGTTATTCCTAGTATCAGGGGTATGCCTGTAAGAAATGTTCGCATGAGCCGAACCGGGAGGCTTTGAAACCGCAACATGCAGGGTTGGCTAGATTTAGCTATTACATCTCCATTAGTTGATATGAGTTCTGCAGTCAACTGATAACACAACTCATGAATAACAACTATTCAACACAAATTGAAGTTCAGTATTCATTGTTTTTCTGTTACATAAGCTCTTATTTTAAGAAAAAGAATTACCCATTATCAACTCATTGATCAAGGAACATGAAACACTATTGTGGGAATCATTGACATTAGAACCAGAAAACTAGAGGGACAAAAAAGATATAGTAAACATCCTAAAACAGAGACGTATAATGAGTAGAAATAAAAAACTTATAACCTTGATACTAAAACGTTTCATATTTATCAAACTTAGAATACAGCTGGAGAGATGGATAGTTATGTAACTAGTAGAATTGGAGCGGGTTGGACAAAATAGAAGCAAGTGGGATTTTATGGGATGCAAGTAAAACACATAGGCTAAAGGGAAAACCTATAGGATTGTTAGTGGACCAACTATGTTGTATGCAGCGGAATGTTGGGTCCGAAAAAAAAAAACAAGAACAAGGTCTTTATGTTGCGGAAATGAGAATGTTAAGATGGATGAGTGGAGTAAATAGAAGAGATAGGGTCATTAATGAAAATGTGAGGGGGTGTACCTCTCATTAGTGAGAAAATTTGAGAGGATAAATTTAGATGGTTTTGTCATATACATCCGAGACCTAGTGATGCGTTGGTCAAATGAGGAAACTGTCAATGATTAAAATGACTGTAAAACTAGCTTCTGTAGAGGGGAGTCATGATAAAAAATGCTCCCTATGGTACTTTGTTTGGAAAGAACTACATGGAGATGTCAAATTTATGTTCATTATGATAATTCAGCAATGTGTGCTGTGTATTTTAATTTAGCCGTGGTGTATCAGGTGGACATCCTTAATTATGTTATCCATGTCTTTATATCATCCGGTTCTCTTAGAGTGAAATTTCAATCACATATAATAATCATTGGTACCATATTCCGATAACAGAGGCTTACAAGACGTAAACTTCGGCTACAAGAGCACGGGACCAATATTATTAGCTTAGTACCATATTCTCAGACACGCATTTGTCCCATTGGAGACTCAACCCTCAGGAAATAACATTCGGGCTGATCCCTTTGTGGTGTATCAATCCTCAACTGCACAAGAGTAGTGCAGACAATGAGTTTGTATGTGTGGAGTTAAGATATGCACAATAATATATACAAAGATTCTCATTGTTCGATCAAACAAAGAGTTTGAAATTATTAGGTTGCCGTTCAGAAATTCAAAGATAAAATGGCGGCAACTATGACAATCTTATGGTTCAGTATTAGATGTGACTATTTATGCGGGAATTCGATTTGTCATTGTTTAGTACTCAGGTGCTTTATAAATTAGTTAACGGAGAAGTTCAACAATTGTTTCTCTTCTCCATTTCGCATCACTAGCCCCCTTCTCGACTGATAGAAGTATTCTCTCATGGGATCTAAAAGGGACAGTGGCAAACATCAAAGGAAAATCTCTAAGAAGCCGAACTAGATGATTGTGCTTCGCAGCCATGATTTATAACATTTGGCAGCACAGAAATCTTACAGAATTCGTCAAATTTCAATTCTAAGGTACTGATTCGATGCTCCCAAACACAACTTTATTGTTTTGAAGAATCAAATGAACCCAACTAAAATCCACCCTAGATATATATCAATTTCTTAAAGCCATATGGTCCTACTATGCCTAAATAGTATATCAAATACAACTTTATTTTTAACATTCTTAATTAAGTAAAATTGTCTCTTTCCTTCACATTTCCCACTGAAATCTTTTTATCTGCAAGACCAATTTAATTAAAAGTTCAAACAATAAAAGATGAATTTAAGAGAAAATATATGCATACCTGAAAAACCCCAATGTCTCTATTGAAATCAGATTCAGGCATCAAAAGAACCAAAGAAACATAAAATGTGTGCCCAACTGGCACACCCATCTTCTTATTTTTGTTGTATCCTCCAAATCCAAATCCAAATCCTCCACCACCACCACCACCACCAAATGATAAGACAGCGTTTGGATGAATATCAGTGTAGTCAAAGTACAACTTCTCTCTCACAATCACAGGCTCCTCCACCCAAAACTGCACCAACCCAACACCCAATATGACTGCCAAAACCATGACCACTGTTAGAACCATCCCCACATACGCAGCACCCAGAAACCCTAACCCTAGCCTCCTCAGCAGGAGGCTGCTGCCATGTGCAACCCTTGAAGGGACCGCAGTGGCCGCGGCATGGACCGCCAATTCGACTCGGTCTTTCGCCACTTTTGCTTGGTAGAGGGACTCAGTAGCCAGGGAGAAGATAGAGATGAAGGGTGAGAAGACAGAAACCAAGCAGTTGTAGATGATCTCTGCTTGGAAGGACAAGAATTTTGTGAAGAAAAAGAATGGGTTTGGTATGGGGAGGAGGTAATTGTAGTCCTCCACCACCACCACCACCTCCTCCTCCTCCTTCATGATGTTTGGTGGTGGCGGAACAGCTGTGGTTGCTGTTCTGAGGTGGTGTTTTCTTCTTTGGTGAGCTTGCATAGTAGAGAGAGAGGAGGAGAGAGAGACTGCAAAATGGGCTGCCTCCACCACCTGTATGTGCATGAGAAGAAGTGGTGGCATGCCATCATAAAATGGTGACATCTGTGGTGAAACTGGGCATGCTCGAATCTCTTATATATAATATATAAATTAATATATATTGTGCAATCCTTTTACATTAATTGATCCTCTAATTAGATTTCATTTCGGAGTAAATGAAATCTCAAATAAATTCAGGTAATATGAAGCACTAGAATTATTTAATTTTTGTTTCAAAATAAAAATAATAATAAATATAATTCTATAAGACATAAAAAGAAAAATAAATAAAAAAAGTCATAACGATTAATATATATATTTTTCTGTCAAATAAATGACACTTGGACTGATTCAGCTATGTTTTCCTTGACACAACTACAATATCATATGTTGTGCGATTAATTGTAAATTTAAAGTAAATTAGAAAAATTTAGCATGAAATTTAGTTTAAGAAGCTAATTAGGCACGCAGACGCTAAAAAATTACATAGTGTCGAAAGTATAATTTTGAACCTACAATTAATTAAACTCACCATAAAATATGGATCATATTAAATTATCCGATAATCCAAGATTCACTTTTAAAATGGTTAACAAAGATAATTATGTGTAATTATTATTAAGTCTAATTATCACAAATTAATGAGATAAAGATTAAGGATGACTTATATTGCAATTCTATCCCTTCATGTAGAGGGGTGGCGAATGGGGGGGAACAATTCTTGTGAGAGAATATTGAAACTGTCACACTCAACAATCTCTCAAGACATTCTAAAAGAGAAGAAAAATTATAACTTGTCATTATTTCTCCATAATTCAATAAGTTCAAAGAATTATCAAATAATATTGTTTGAGATCAATAGAAATCATTTGCGCGGTCTTCCTTAATTATAAATATTTGAAAAAGATTAAAGAGATCGACTCAAGATCAAGCTTCAACTGTTCTTGAATCCAACTAATAAAGGAGATCGAATCAGAAGATAAATTTTTTTTTTTTTTTTTTTAATATAAAGAGGATTGTACTCAATTTCTATCAAAAGCAATCAAATTGAGTTGTTCCATATTTTGTTTTTAATTTTCTAGACACGAAATTTGTGTATACAATTTTTTTTGATACGTAGGCATGTTGAATGTTTGTTACAAGTTGACAAAATAATAATAATAACAATAAAATCGTTGCCAAGATCACAAAGTGTGTTCATCACACAATATTTATAATGCTCGTCGGACCATGTTCGTCGCTCGTCACACCCTATCAACCTGACTTTCTGTTAAGAAGACAAAGTGAAAAGTGCTCATTGCACCTTATCACTCGTCGCACCATGTTGGTTGCCTTATCAACTTGCCTAATTGACAAGATGTTGAAATGTGCTTGTCACACAATCTCGAAGTGCTTGTCACACCCTGCCAACTTGGTATGCCGCTAGAGTATAACTACAAAAGAAAAAAAAAATTGCCCATCGCCAAAGTGCATGTAGCTTCCCATCGCCAAAGTGCATGTAGCTTCAAAGAAAATTTTAAAATATCTATATATAAAAGGGAAGGACAAAATGGCTATTTTTAAATAATGATTAAAAAGGTTACTTGTGTAAAATTTGAAACCACTTAATTTTATTACTTGAAATTTCTTGAATGTTTTGAAATCTAACTTACACCTTTATATGTATATGTATATATATGTTTTGAATTTTATTATGATTGTTTTATTGCATCCTACATCTATTATGATTCTCAATAGGAGTAACTTCTTATAATGAAATGAGTAAGTTAAGTTCAAAATTTATATGAAACCTACTATTATTACTGATAAAGACAATGAGGAAGAAAATATTCTACATAAAGCTTGTGAGAGATTTAACAAATTAAACATTATGCGAATGATTGTTCCCCAAAGTGATAGGCTAATGAATATTTGATTAGAAAAATGTTTCCATATTGTAGATAAATATTTAATAGGAAAAATTATTAATTGATATCACTATTATGCATTTTTATTGGTACTTCTACCATGTATGAGTATGTGTTTTAGATGACTAATGTTGCTATAATATTGAGAACCTTAGGATGAGAATTTTCTTATCTAATTTATTCTTAATTTCTTGTGTACTTAGTATGGGCCATTTCATATTAACATTATTAAGATAAGTGGAAAGTGAATTAATTGACTATTATGTTAATTTAGTAGGAGACAAAGTTTAAGTAGCAATGTAATCATTATGTTCATCTCATGACTCAAGAAGTTAAAAAGAAATTTAGGAAGAAGCCTGAAAGGACATTATGTGAGCAACACCCAAAAATAAAAAACTTTGGTCAATCTATTAAAAGAAAGGAATGTAATAATGCAAAAGTGTTATTTATGTATTAAACACTTTTAGAAAGATTATATGAAATATAAAGAATTATTCGAAAAGAAAGGTAAGCCTTTTTGCTTTCGTATATTTCGAATCACTTATTAAAATTCCTTTTAATGTATAATGGGTTGACTTAAACACTAATGTTTATATTTCTAATAGATGCAAGGATTCCTTAATTATGACCTAAACTACAAATTCAAATAAGAATTTCTTATATATGAGAATTGGGAAAAAGTTTTTGTCGAAATCATTTAGACATTATGTTTAGTCTTAGATAATGGATTTATTTAAATTATTTTAAACTCTTTATATTTATTCAATTTTCCACAATTTGATTTTATTTAAAAAAAATTTATGTTAATGGTTTTTCCTTTAAATGTGATAATGATGTTTATTTAAAAATTTTCAATTTGTGGGTTTTGGTATTTTTGTTGATGATTTTTATAAATTCAAACTTGATAGTTTATTTATTTAAATTCTTTTGACCTTGTATCATAATGTTAGAATTAAGCGTAGCTCAATTAATAAAAAAATTATTTTTCTTGTTGCATAAAAGATTGGGTCATTTATCCAGTGGTATGGTTGAATATATTAGTAAATTTAAAGATGAAATTATTTGGAATTTAGATTTTACTGATTTTAATGTGTGTGTGTGTGTGGATTGTATTAAAGGTAAACAAATAAAAAAACATAGAGAAATGAGCCACAATAGTACAAAGCTTCTTGGATTATTTATACAGACATTTATGGACCTTTTGATGTTTCATTTTTTGGTGGAGAAAAGTATTTTAACACCTTTATAGATAATTTTTCACGTCATGGATATATTTATTTGTTATATTAAAAAACGCAAGTAGTGGATACTCTTAAAACATACATAAATGAGGTTGAAAGGTAACTAAATAGAAAAAGTAAAAATCGTAAGGTGAGACTGGGGTGGTGAATACTATAAAAAGTATAATGAAATGGGCTAATATCCTGAACCATTAACTAAATTCCTTGAAAGACATGGTATTTGTGTTCAATACATTATGCTAGGCATGCCACAGTAGAAGCGTGTAGCTGAAAGGCGTAATCGTACTCTTATGGATATGATTAGGAGTATGTTAAGTAATTTCTCGTTACCTATAACGTTGGGAATGTTAGGTAATCTAAAGGGAATGTTAGGGAATGTTCTAAACATAATACGATAATTGTTAAAACCGAAAATGTCAAATTCATTGAGAATGGTGAAATTAGTGGAAGTGATAAAAATAAGAATGTGATCATTCAAGAAGTTAGGGTATAAATTCCTTTATCTATAACTTGTAAGAAAATAATTATTTGTTCAGTTGTTGAACCATATAACAACGAAGAACAATTGAATGATTAATAACTCTATAATGAGATTGTCACTAATGAATAGATTGTAGAAGAACCACAATGACTAACATTAAAAAGATCATAAAGAGAAAAGAGATCTGCTATTACAGATGACTATGTAGTATATATGCAAGAATCTGATTTTGATATTGCGATATATAAGGATCCAATTACATATTCACAAGTCATTAACATTAATGATTTTACTACATGGATTAGTGACGTGAATGAAGAGATTATAAATAAACCTTTTCTATAACATCTAAGAAGGATTCTCTTAAAATATCATAACATTAGTAGCTTATTCATTCAGTTGTGCCATGAATGTTTTTGTTTGTGTTTGTTTTTGTGTTGTGTTTTTGTTTTTGTTTGTGATTGTGTTTGTTGTGTTGTGATGTGTCATATTTTATTTGTGTTTGTGTTATTCGGCATTGATATGGCAACCCCCTTTTGGGCACTCTTCATTGAATGCTTCTAAAAAAATAATAATAATAATCAATAAATAATGAAAGAATAGTTGCTGAAGTAACCGTTGTTTTGCTGCCCCTGGTGTGGGTTTTATTGGAACGTTCTCAAATTGATCTGAAATGGCTGCATTTCAACAGCCATATATATCTCTTGTTCCTTTCATTTCTACAGCCATATCCCTGGTTTCTTTCTTTCCCTTTTTCTCATTACTTCCCTCCAAATTACTTTTTCTATTTTTCCATAGACCTCCTTTACTAATAAAGTTTTTATTCTTTCTATCTTCTTTTTTCCTTTTTGTCCCCCTTAACTTTTCTTCATTTCAAAATATTTCCTTAGAGCAGTAGTTCCATTCTACTCTTCACCTGATTATGTCCCGATCTAACAGTCATCTTTCACAGTTCTGTAAAAGCCATATTACGGACACCTGCCATATTAATGTCCATGTCTCCAGTGCATAATACGTTCTCTCTCTTTTCAATATGGAGCACATGGCTTAGCTTAAATAGAGTTTTGCTAAATGTTCTGGATAATATTGCACTTGAGGTTTTTTTTTTTTTTTTTTTTTTTTTTTTCTCTCTCTCTTTTACGGATAACCCCCCATCATAATGACTCCACCTTGTATCGTCAAAATGGGTCTATTCAATTCTTGACCTAGTATGGGTCATATCGTATCTTCTTCATAAGGCTACCAATTAGTACTATTGGGCCTTGCCTGTTTTAATTGGGACTTGGTGGTCATGAACTGCTTTACTCCTGGTGTATGTTCGGCCCACCAACTCGGCCCTGTTTGGTTTTCCTTGCATATTTGGGTGCTATGCAAGTCCAAAAAGAAGCGACTCACGAAGGATGAACGTGTTCAGTTCGATCCACACCATTTCTG